TGGAAGCCTACTCTATGTGACCGCATCAAGACCGGATGTGATGTTTAGTGTATGCATGTGTGCTAGATTTCAAGCCTCACCAAGAGAAAGTCATTTGAAGGCAACAAAGAGAATATTGAGATACTTGAAGCATACACAAAATGTTGGATTGTGGTATCCCAAAGGAGCAAGATTTGAGTTGATTGGATATTTAGACTCCGATTATGCAGGATGCAAAGTTGAGAGAAAGAGCACATCGGGCATATGTCAACTATTGGGAAGATCACTTATGTCATGGTCATCAAAGAAGTAAAATAGTGTAGCACTTTCAACCGTCGAAGCAAAGTACATTTCGGCCGGTAGTTGTTGTGCTCAATTACTTTAGATGAAGGCTACTTTGAGTGACTTTGAAATCAAATTCAAGCAAGTGCCATTGCTATGTGACAATGAGAGTGCCGTAAAGGTCACCAACAACCCGGTTCAACATTTAAGAACAAAGTATATAGATGTCCGCCATCATTTCATAAGAGATCACCAACAAAAAGGGGACATTTGTATTAAGAGTGTTGGCACCGATGATCAACTTGCCGATATCTTCACCAAGCCACTTGAAGAGAAGAGGTTTTGTAAGCTAAGGAATGAATTGAACATTCTTGACTTCTCCAATATGTGTTGATGCACCCCCATTATATGACATTTCTCTCCTTCGAGCAAAGCAAGGTAAAGTTGATTGACATGTCATTCATCCATTGCTAAGGACTTGTTTAGTGCATCTAGTCACTCCTATCATGTCTTAGGCTCATTCATGAAAATCAAATGAATTTGATGCTTGTATGGTACCACTATTGCTTGTATGCTTGAAATGATCTAGTGGTAGCATATGACATGTTTGTGGGCTTGTAAACCTAGTGCTTAATCTAGAAAATGAGCTACAAGTGTTTAACTCAACATGATGCATGATAATCCTCTTTTGGAGGTGTGAAGAAGCTTGCCCTTGGATCAAACCGAGTTAAATATCTTTTGCAAGTGATCTAGATTGAACAAAATTAGGAAAATGATCCTCACTTCACATGGTTTCACCCAAACCTATCTAAAATTTAAACTCACCTTTTGTGCTAATTGTTGACAAAGGGGGAGGAAAATTCACAAAGATAGTAAGATAGGGGGGAGCAAACAAATGAAATAGGGGGAAATAGGGGGAGCAAACAAATGAAATGATATTATAAGGGATCAATCAAAATTATACATAAGTAGGGGGAGCAAGCTCATAAACTTGTATGTTGCATTTGAATGTGCATTTCATATATTTGCTTTCATGGCACAAGTTTTAAATTTCAATATTCATGCTTGTGTGGTGTATGCTAGTTGTAGGTTTGAATGATAAAATGAAAAACTATCATACATAGGTTAAGTAACTAGACTTATGTTCATTTTATGGAAACTAGACCCTTGCTTCTAATATTGATCGCATGGGGTATTCTAGTTTTTATGTATGTCCAGTTACTAATGGTGCTAAGGATAGTATATTGGTGCACTCTGATTGGTATCACGCTTCAAAGGTCCATCTCTTATACCTTAACATCATTTGGTAGATGTTGTCTCCTATATTTCCTATCTAAGCATATGTGTAAGCTACAATCCAAACTCTTAGCACATATATAGGGGGAGCAATTACTACCATTTGGGGTTCATGAAACTTGTCAATATCCTTTTACACATGGTAAATATGCTTGGGCAAGCAATATGGACTCAATTAAATTTCAAATCATATCTTTGTGTAAAGGTTGTCATCAATTACCAAAAATGGGAGATTGAAAGCTCTAGTTTGGTTTTGGTGAATTGATGAAACCCTTAGTGCTAACCTAGCTTATCAAAGTGATTATGAGATAGGTAGCACTACTCTAAGTGGTGAAGCAAATGAAGATCATGACATGATGATGGTGATGCCATGGTATTGATCAAGTGCTTGAACTTAGAAAAGAATAAAGAGAAAAACAAAAAAGCTCAAGGCAAAGGTGAAATTAATAGGAGCTTTTCAGTTTGGTGATCGAGACACTTAGAGAGTGTGATCACATTTAGGATCGATAGCCGTACTATTAAGAGGGGTGAAACTCGTATCAAAATATGGTTATCAAAGTGCCACTAGATGCTCTAACTCATTGCATATGCATTTATGATCTAGTGGAGTGCTAACACCCTTGAAAACATTTGTGAAAATATGCTAACACATGTGCATAAGGTGATACACTTGGTGGTTGGCACATTTGATCAAGGGTGGTAAAGTTCGGAGTCAAAAGGAGAAGTTTCGTATTGACCGGACTCTGCCTTGGGCAGTGACCGGACTCTGACCCTGCGTCTGGTCAATGGCCCATAGTGAAGGCCGCCCTCGGTCCCTTGATCGGATGCTGAAGTGAAAAAGGGACCGGATGCGCAGGGGGTGCATCCGGTCACCTAGTGACGTACGCTGACGCAAGCAACAGAGACAAACTGTGTGGACCGAACGCTGACCTGAGTCTAGTCATGGGCCACCGGACGCGTCCGGTCGCGAAAAATGGGCTCTAGAACCTCTCTAGAAACGACCGGACTCTGGCTGGTCTGCGTTCAGTCGTGTAGGAGTGGACGCGTCCGGTCGCAATACAGGGGCTCGAGGAGCTCTCTATAAATGATCGGACTCAGGTGGTGGCGCGTTCGGTCGTGGTGTAGAGGTGCGCTCGGTCACAACTTAAGTGCACTGATGACCGTTGAGATCGGGCGATCAGTATTTAAAGCAAGGGACACGTGGCGAAAATCTGAGGACCGGACGCTGGGGTCCTACGTCCGATCAAACCGACCAGTGCGTCCGGTCACCCCAATTTTTCAGGGAACAGAGAGACAACAACTCTATTCATGAGGCTATCCATTTAAGCCCCATGGCCGGCTTAAGCTCACAGTCTTGACCATTTGCATTCACATAACAACATTGTGAGCTTAGCCAAAGCTCATCCACTCATCTCCATCATTGATTCTACATCTTTGTGAGATTGGGAGAGAATCCAAGTGCATTGCTTGAGTGATTGCATCTAGAGGCACTTGGTGTTCGTGTTTCGCTGAGGGATTCACTTGTTACTCTTGGTGTTTGCCGCCACCTAGACGGTTTGGAGCAGCGAGGATCGTCGAGTGGAGGTTGGTGATTGTCTCCGGCTTCGATCGCTATGATTGTGAGGGGTCTTGTGCCTTCCCCGACGGAGCGCTGAAAGGTAACTCTAGTGGAGTGCTCGTGTCATCAAGTTACCTCACTTGTGGGTAGGTTCTTACGGTGTCTAATTGTGTGGACGAGGTTCGTTCAACACCTCTTAGCCGCCGAACCACCAAGTGTTGGTCGACACAACGGGGACTAGCGTGCCGGCAAGCACGTGAACCTCGGGAGAAAAATTGATTGTCTCTTGCCCTTTGGTATTCTCCTGGTGATTGATTTAGTATTCATCTTGTGATTGGTTTACTCCTCTACACGGTGGTATAATCATCTTATTTACTCACTTACATACCTGCAAACTAGTTGTAGTAAGCTCTTTAGTGTACTTAGAATTGAGAACTTGCTGTGTAGCTTAAATTCATCTAGTGGTGCTCTTTAGTGTAGCGGGTGTGAGAGCTCTTAGTGAGTAGTGACTTACTAAATTGTGTGTCTAGTGATCATAGTAACTAGAATTGTTGGATAGGTGGTTTGCAACATTTGTAGAGTTAGAGTAAATTTGTTTTTCGCTATTTGTCATACTAATCAAAATTGCTCTAATTGGTTTGTAGATTTTTTAAATATGCTATTCACCCCCCCCCCTTAGCCATATTAGGACCTTTCACCACTGATGCACACTGTGTCCCGTCCTCCACGCGCGCCGAGGTGCTGCTGAGGTGCCACCGCCACCGTGGTTCCCTACTAGAAGGTCATGGCCGTGTTGACTCCGTGGCCGCCGTGACGCATGACTTCAGCAAAGAGATGTTGCGATGAAAGCGCATGTTGCAAGCATATATTTTAAGTGTTTTAGATGTTTCAGAGGTATGTTGCAATTGCTTCATATAGATGTTGTAAAAGTAGTTCGGGGATGTTGCACTTGTTGCAACTGTTTCGGAGGCATGTTGCAACTGCTTTTGAGGTGTTGTTCAAAACGTTTCATGTGTTCCAGACGTATGTTGCAAGCGTTTCGATCTGGATGTTGCATGTATGTTTCACACATATGTTGGAACAATGTGTTCCAAATGTTTCAGCTGCTTTAGTTTTATGTTGCTATTAAGTGTTTTCATGATGCAAGTTGCAAGTGCTTTTTTATCTGATGTTGCATATGTTTCACACATATGTTGCAAGTGTATGTTCTAGATGTTTTATCCGTTTCATATGGATGTTGCATTCAAGTGTTTTATGTTGCACATATTTCATGTTATTTAGAGAGTCAAGGGGCATGGGGAGTGATGGTGGCACGGTGGTACGGGCGCTGGATAATGATGAGGCACGGCGAGCTGGAGGCCGACGGATGAGGAGCGTGGCGCGCCGATGTCCTGCGGACGGGGCACGCGGGGGCCGTTGGTCTGGCCACGACGAGGGGCGGGGTGCGTGTGCGGGACGGAGGGAACGACCACGAATCGAGACGGACAGGGCGGGCTATGCGTGCGAGACTAGACGTGTGGACGCGTGGACGTTACGACCGCGTGCTGGGCGAGAATAAAATCAGGGCACGGAGACAGGCTGCTCGGGCATCCGGACGCGTCCTCGCGGTGGACGTCCCGGCGCTGGTCGCTCCCATAATACTACGACTTTAATACAAAATAGTTAAAAAAGAAAAATTAGCTATTTGCCATCCTCGAATCACAGCACAGTTAAAAGGATTAGCAGTACAACAGTCCAAGTAAAAGCGTGGCTATCATATTAAGCTTAGCCTAAACCCAAAGCAACGTTTCTCGGACAGTCAGATCAGATCAAACCATCTCAACCTCCTCTGCTGCTTGTTCCTTGTCTCTCCTTCTAGAACCATCGGGAAGCAACAACCGTAGCAATGCCGCTCCACCACCCCAAGCACCGCCACCATGACGACGACCTCCTCCCCTACCGCCGCTCCGATGATGAGGCCAAGCCACGCCGGCCCTACACCCCCACCTTCCCCTCCTCCCCCGCCTCCGCTAACCGCCGCCTCCTCTTCTTCGCCGTCGCCTGCCTCGTCCTCGCCGCCGCCTCCTTCGCCTTCGCCGTCTCCACCAGCCGCAACCGCCAGCCCCTGCCGCAGCCTCCGCCTACTGTTGCCTTCCGCTGCGGCCACGCCGAGGACTCGCTCCGCTCCTTCCTAGCGGCCTCCTCGCACGGCAACTTCTCCGCCGGCGACAGGGAGAAGGTGCTCGCCGTCGTTGGCGTACACACGGAGCACGGCAACTTCTCCGCTGCCCGACGCGCTGCGCTCCGCGCTACCTGGTTCCCGCCCAACCCCGAAGGCATCGTAAGGTTCCGCACACTTCCATAAGCTTTGGATCTGGATAGATTCATGATCTAGATTGCTGCTGCTCGTGTCACGTATATACTAGAAACTTCTAGCTGCATTTTAGTATCTAGATGCTACCATGGTGTGATCGGTTAAGACGTTGCTTGTGCGCTTGCTGTTACTTGCATTTTCCTGCTAATAAGGTTGCTTGTAGCTTAGATCTCTGGGTCATCTGCTCCAATTGCAAATGCTCACTATTTGAGAATACAGTTTTTCAATCGGGCAGGGTGGGGTGAGTCTTACTAACTGGGCCGATTTGATTAATTGATTTCTGCCACTAGTTGCCAGTTACCATAATTTGAATTCTCATGAATGATTGCTAACATGAACAAGAGGTTATGGTGTAACGAGCATATCGGCAGTGATGATAACTTCAAATAGGCATACAAATTTGGTTCCATCATTTTACAAGGCATTAATGAATTATATCATTAGAACTGAAATTTAATTTGTATTGCAATTCTAATCATTTCAAAGCAGGCGTCCTGTGTTCGAAGTACAGTACGTCCTGTGTTCGAAGTACAGTACAAATCGTGGTATATCAGGTGTCATGAAATGCATAGCAGAAAGTATATACGAAGACTCAGTGAAGAAATGAGATTCCATATCCACTGAGTAAATATGGTTTTCAATCCAAAACAGTTCACTTGAAACAAATTTATGTTTTTTGGGTGATTGAAAATAAAGTATATGTGCTATATGGAAAGTATGTTTAGCTATTTTTCTTTCCTTTTTCTTTTTATTTATTTTTTTCTTCTTTTTTGGAGTTCTGAGTGTTGCAATGTGTCTTGAAATGTTCCATTACATAACTCTGTATTTAGTTACTGTACTCCTTGGCCTGGAGAAAAGTAGGATAAAATGTTCTACCATTTATTGTTTACTCTTATCACATTTATGGCATAGTGTCAACATAGTGATCAGAGATACAATTCACTGTTTCTTAGTCTGGCCTTGAGTGTGTGTGTGTGTGTGTGATTATGAGACAAAATAGATCGATCTCTTCCAAATCTAGTAATGTTCTCTGTTTTCCTTTTCTCGCCCTTTTAGTTTCTATATATGGACAGAATTAATCCCCTTATTTCCATGTTCTGTTTTGTGCATCTTATATTTCCTGAACAAAAGAATGCATGGGAAAGCTGTAATGCTTTTGAATGCACAAGAATAAAGGGTTCTTGGACTCGGTGTTCATGTGTCCTTTTGTATTTTGGACAATTCAAATACCTGAATCCAAGTTGGATTCTGACATCTGTGCTCATGTGCAAGAACAATTCTGTTGTATCATGTTGAAGCTTTTGGGGGCTTACTGTGGCCATTTCTTCTGTGTTGCAGTTTAGAACATGGAACTGGATTATCTTTTAGGTTTGTCACTAGACGGCTAAAGGACAAAGATAAAATGGAAGATCTTCAGAAAGAGGCGGATACTTATCATGACTTTTTGTTTATTGATGCTGATGAGGACACAAAGCCCCCACAGAAGATGTAAGTTTGTGTACACTTTTTACCGTTGTATGGTACCTGTGAACTTACATGTGGTTAATCTAATCAGTCCCACTTTTGTTACCTGTCTGATAGGTTAGCATTTTTCAAAGCAGCTTACCACATGTTCAATGCAGAATTCTATGTCAAAGCTAATGATGATATCTACATGCGCCCAGGTGAAGTTAGTGACTATATTGTACGATTGTTGCTTCTTAGACCTGTTATATGACTCATACTTCTAAGGCAGATAGACTTGCTGCTCTTCTTGCAAAAGAAAGACCTCAGCACAAGACATACATTGGTTGCATGAAGAAGGGACCAGTTGTCAATGATCCAAATATGAAATGGTCAGTTAATCAGTTCCTATTCCAGGAAATATGTATTACAAATTAAATGGTCAGTTCAAATTCTGGGACATATGTGGCTTTTAAATTGATTGGCATACGTCTCTTTTGCATCCGTAGCATTGTTGTTATTTTTTTACTGAACACAAAGTGACACAACAAACACGACCAAACCCCCATAATCTAAGAACAGGCATGTGACTGAGCAAAACAGAAGATGACCAAACAACTGAGATAGCAGGCCTTAGAAAATGTTATGGAGGTCTTTAGCCCCAGCTGCACACCATAAGGGATGCTGCTCCACTACTGCCCTTACCACCAAATTTCAAGTCCCGAAGCCCTGTTGAATAAGCAACCATTGTGATGTTTCCCAAACCAACAAAAGAGCGAAGTGTTTCAGCCTTTTCTACACTGCTTGTCCACCCTTTTGAATGCATGGCACCACCATCCACAAGAACTATAGTCAGGAACAAGAGCCTGTAAACCCAACTTCTGTAACACAATAAACCACACTGGCATGAGTTGGTGTGAGTGAGTTTGTGTCCCTGGGGCTTGCCTTTTGGCTGGCCTGGGGTGTGTTGTATGGGTTCTTTCCCATTGTTACTTCCTAATATAATGATGCGCAGCTCTGCTGCGTTTTTCGAGAGAAAAAAGATGTGCTGGATGTTGTCAGCTGCTTGATCCCTTGGCCTTCACATTAATACTATTCTTTGAAGTGTTCCTGTTTAAATTTCAGGTACGAAAGTTCTTGGGAACTGTTGGGTAACGAGTACTTCATGCATGCTTCTGGTTCACTATATGCTCTTTCGTCTGAGGTGGTTGAAGCTCTAGCTACTGCAAAGAGTGATAGGTTGGTCAGTTATAATTTTGTGACTTCTCTTTTCACCTAAAACATGGAAAACTGAAGTGCATCCAACAAGCTTACTCCCAAACTTTAGTATGCTTGTACTTAGACATGCAACATGCTACTGACATTTCATATTTTTCTTGCGCTCATGGAATAATTGGATTGACCTTCCTTTTCACCTTAACATGGGAGTGTGTCAATCCAAGGATTTCATGTTAGATGGTCTGTATGCATTTAATTTAAAGATATGCAGGGTACACCCAGATATCAATGTTTTGCATTATACTAGAGTTGTTATTTGTTATCAGCACCAAATGAACTGTAGGGTTTGTTATTTATCAAAGCAAAAAGAACTATAGGGTTCATGGTAATAGAGTGTACATGATATTAGTTCAGTACAACATTTTTGCCATTATTATGACTTCTCTTTGCTCTTTGTTTCTTGTGTATTCAAAATAATCATTATACATCCGTGCATTTTCCAGCTTAAGGATGTTTGATTATGAAGATGTTACAATCGGTGCATGGATGCTTGCTATGAATGTAAAGCATGAAGACAACCGAGCAATGTGTGATTCAATATGCACTCCTACCTCCATTGCTGTATGGGACAGTAAGAAATGTTCAGGTTTGTCTTCAAATATTAGTCTCATTATCATTGCATTAGGGAAGTCTGAATCAATTTTGCTATCTAATATTGGTACTTTACTGCAAAATGGCTAGTATGTCCATGCTTTTTCATCATTGCCAAGAGCATATTTGATGTGTCAGGACTAATACTCATACTGAAGAATTAACATCATTCCTATTATTTGGACTCAAATATATGCATATGGAAATTTGTTGTGATAAATCCTCATCTAATTCCAGGTACTTGTAACATAGCTGACAAAATAAAGCAGCTGCATAACACCACTGTGTGCTCAAAGAGCCCAACGTTGCCACCTGAGGTGGAGGAGGAAGAATAGAACCAAAACAATTTTGGACCTTCAAAGGGTTATGACGGTGATACTCCAATTGGATCACTGGATTTGTCATCGACTCATTTTCATACTGCTGTATCGTTTGCGGGCCTCCTTCCAATAGCGGTGCTGTAGAGTTCGTGGAGAATCGATGCCATCACATGAAGCGTAGTATTTTGAGTCTATACCCTGGTTGACCAACATAAACAGCAAGCGACCAACATAGGTTCAGATGAAGTGATGTACCTTTTAGTAATTGATGGAACCAACGAGGCACAGAGAAATTCTTGGCTGGATGATGTATGTATATATATTGTACACAGAGTGACCTATGCGGTCTCATTCTTCGCTGATCAGACCGTGGATATCTTACGATTTGTTTTCTAAGACTGATATGTGCACGCGTTCGTTTTGCTCTTATGCCGTTTGGAGACGATAAACAGAGAAAGGTCTAAGTGTGTTCCGTGGCCTCGTGTGTTAAAACTTGCTATGATCTGGCTCCTCACTTGCCGCCCCGTGGTGTCAAGTGTCAACTGTGTTGGCCGGCCCAAGCAAGCCACGATGGAGGAAGGCACTACTCCCGTGGTTGTTTGTCACCCTGAGGACACGCGCGATGGAGCATTTGATGTTTATGAAGAAGGGCGAAAGCTGCTATGCCTCCGCTGGTGCATCAACTTACGTTAGCTTGTTTGTGTCTAGGGACGTACTACTAATTGAAACAACGATCTCTTGTCATGGTCATGCACTGCAAATGTGTAATGATCGTAAATATTTATTCCTTCCTTGATTAAAGAGATAACCGTTAGCCTTGTTGTATCTGTTGCCTTGTTCTTTTACTCCATCTAGTTTTCTGTTGCGCCCAATGGCACTCTTGCTGTATTGCACTGCAACTGCCTGAAACAACTGAAAATTTCAATCCACGGCAGCTCCTCACCTGAATCCACAACTATTCGCAGAGAATGGAGGCCTTTGTGATGGACTGATGGTGTCTATCAACTCGGCTCACAGATTTGGAGTCGTCCAGTTGTAACTGGTAGGGTTTGCTGCTGAAGACCAACCAAGGGCAGGCTGGAGCGCCAAACCTCTCTTGAGAACATACATGTAGTGAGCAAATCAGATTCTCATCTTCCTAATCACAAAGTGGGCGTCTCTCTAGATGATCAAGTCTTGTACGTGCCACGATAACAACCGAGGCCTTGTTTAGTTCGCGGTTAGAAATCAGTATTCGACACTGTAGCACTTCGTTTGTATTTGACAATTATTGTCCAATCATGGTCTAACTAAGCTTAAAAGATTCGTCTCGTAATTTACAATCAAACTGTGTAATTAGTTATTTTTTTATCTACATTTAATACTCCATACATGTGTCCAAAGATTTGATGTGATGGAGAGAGAGTGAAAAAACTTGAAATCTAAACAAGGCCCAAGTAAAAAATCTGCAAAGACCTGGAGCCCAAGTCTTTCTTGTTTCACGTTCCATAAATATAGGCTCTGTTTGGTTGAGCCGTGGATTTTGAAAAAGCTATTGTAAGTCGTGGGCTGTGGAAAAGCTACTGTAAGCTGAGAACTGTGAGAAAAGTTGAAAATCGTTTGGTTGGTGGAACTGTGAAACCGTAGGCTACGTAAGAAATGTTTGTAATGCCCATAAAGGCCTGAGGGACTATTTATATGCAAATTGCTCGTAAATAACTGTTGCACTCACTTATTCGCATGTAAATAATTATTTTGAAAAGGAAAAATTAATTTATTCTAAGTTTTTGTCATATGATCCACATAAATAGAATCAAAAGATAAGGGCTCATCCATTTATGTCATCCCTGACCATTACTATCCTCCTCTCGCACTAACCAAAGCATAAGCTATTCTACTACGAATGGTATTCATGGTATCCTCATTCTCCACATCTTCACTCTCATCTCCCTGTGTTTGTATTGTGCCACTTATTTCTTGTACCAAGTATTCCTCATCAGCATCACATCTCTCGAGCTCCTTATCACGCAAATTATTGTCACGGATAAAATTATGCAATGCCAAACAAGCAATGATGATATGCTTCTGAGTACGAGTTGAGAAACTTGGTATGCCCTTCAAAATACGCCACTTCTCCTTCAATACTCCGAAAGCCCGCTCAATGACATTTCGAAGAAATGAATGCAAGAAATTGAACACCTCATACTTCCCTTGGGGTGGTCCAAAACGATTATGAAATTCTGGTATATGGTATGTGCTTCCTTTAAAAGGGGCCAGATGCCCTATTCAGTTTGAAAAACCAGAGTCCACGAGATAATATTTTCCTATAAAATCAAATCAGTATAAGCAAATAATAATACAAGTACTTTACCAACATGGTTGCATTTTAGTCCTTTTTCACGGTTATCTCATCTCTGAATGTGAATGAAAATTTTTAACAAGGCACACCATATCAAAGTATGAAAAAGAATATCAATAGTGAAAGTTTAGTTTTTACAGCAAGGTGTTCAGTCCACCATTCATTCGGGCAATCAACAGTTCCCTTTGTCACGTCCCATCCAAGTCCAATGACATAATTCTTGAACTCCATGAACTATCCATATTCCTTTTTTATGTTGTTTAATTTGTTCTTCAACTGTATCTTTGTTCGCTCGTCACTAGTTCTTTCTGCAAACTTAGATACAAGATTTTTTCATCCAGTACTAGTGAAAAGTCCGAGGGGCCTATTCCCTGCTTTTTATCTCCCCTTTGCATACATCAATCGAATGCTTCAAAAAGAAATCACTCCAATTTGCCTTATCACCCATTCTTGAATCAAACAAAACAATTTTTTCAGACTTTCTAATTACCATAATACCATGGCATCATTTTTATCATACACACAGCACACTATACTGAATGAATAGCATGCATCGAACCATTTATCAGAGATTGACGTACCTACGTTGTAGATCCGGTCACTGGAGGCGTAGATCAATGGAGCCGGGACCTGCTTGGTTGCTGGAGAGGAGCGGACGACGCAGCTACAGGGGCTTTGACGCGGAGCCCGACCGGCTGAGACGGGGCGGGGACGGCGACTCCCGGCGGCGGCGACGAGTGGGGCGACGAAGGAGAGGACCGGGCGGCGCCGGAGGAGGCCAGGGCATGGTCGGCGAGATGCGCCGCCGCCAAACCCTAGCTCCGCCTGGGCGTCGCCACTTGCGGACGGACGGGCTCGGAGTCGTGCGGAAGGGAAGAGAAGGGAAAAGAACAAAGCGTTTTCTTCATAACCGGTGGCAGTGCGGGTAATTTCGTTGAAAGTGACCCCCCACAGCCGGTGAAAGCAGCCTCTCCCTAGCCGTGAAAAAATAAACTTCGTAAAAGCTAGCTTCTCCAAAAGCTATTGGTCCAGCAGGTGCCCTTTGGTTAGCTTTTGAGGTTTCGGAGGCAAAAGCTGAAGCCAAAAGCTAAACCAAACACCCCGTAGACCCCTCGAAAAAACGACGATATGCTGATTTAGCTACGAACTTCCCGGATGCAGTGCAAGTGCAAGGATGCGTGTGCATGAGCAAGCCAACATTAGTAGTCGTAGACCTGTTAGCATGTGCCGACGCCGGAAGGGAGACACGTTCCAAATCGGCTACGGCAGCAGTACCCGCAAAAAAGAAAAGAAAAAGCCCTCCTCACTCCTCAGCACCGGTGGCACCTGGGACGATCGTCGTCGCACCATGAGATGAGAGTGACACAGGCCTAGGCCCGACGGGTCAGACGCCTGTTGGTTCACCGGTACCCAATCGCCGGTGGTGGTCCCTAAGATCCTAGCGGATTCGTTGCCTAATAATACAGCCGCCCGGTATCCGTAAGATTTACACTTGTTTCTTTGACAAAATTTCCTCGTTCTTGTGCCTAAGCCGAGTGTAAGTTTATCGTTCGCTTCTTCTCTATCCTATCTTCTCTTTTCCACCTCATCTTTTAGCCAGTTTCTGGCTTGTTATTATCGTTGCTGTTAGCATGTCGAGAACTCAACTGATGTAATATGCAGCGATTTTCACAGGGAATTGAGCTCGGTCCCCCTAGAATTTACAAAATGCCTCCCGATATTCCAATCAAATGGACCACACCTGTACGCATACGTGGATTTGACTCCTACAGTATTTGGTTACGAGGTGTAGTAGTCCAAACATGTCCTTTTTTTCATCCACCCTTTCTGTCAGATTGTCGATTAAAACGGGCAAATGCAACAGAGTACGGAGCACATGAAAGTGTCGCGTGCAAAAAAGAAAAAGAAAAAAAAGGAATGCGACGGCACGTCAAAATGAAACGTGCCGAGGCGTGGCAAGCAACCGAACATGGGCCGGCCTTTATTAGGTCCAGCGGCACAGCACCCCGGTTCCCGCGCGTCCTGCGGAGTCGACGCGTTAACGGGCAGAGGAGAAATGCCCCGCGTGAGATACAGATGTGTCGGTGCGCAGCGCGGCCGGGAGCACCAAACCCGTGGCAGGCCGCCGGATCGGTACGGTAATACGCCAGCCACGACCCCAATCCGTTCCGTTCGTTCGTTCGGTCCCCCGTCGGAAGCTGCTGCAGCACGGGCACGGAGAAAGAGGAAGCAAGCGCGTTGCTTGCCCTTCCGTGTCCGCCGTGCGCCCGTGCCGTGCCCGCGGTACCGCACCGCACGGCCGAGAGAACGCGCGCGGCTGAGGGGCTTTCGCACGTCCACCGCAGTTCGGGTGGCCCGTCATTTTCAGGCTGATCCGTTTTCGGGGCAAGCAGGTGTTTGTTGGAGGCCCAAATTTAATCGTGCACGCGTATATAAATGTGGAGATGTGGGGGTAGTACATGTACATGTACATGCGGTGTTCCTCTGCGATGGGGATCGACCTTTTCATTTTGATGCGCTAATTAATCTGTACTTTGCTACGAATATATGTGTGGTCTTGTACGGTTGTACCTTGCACCGACGCTGCCAAACTCTCGTGTTCACGTTACAACAAATTAAAGCATGCATTTCATTTCCTGAGCAACAGTAGAAACACAAAGTGGGTATATAAGGTTATTAATAGCTGAAAATCTTAGAAAGTCCAGGTATACCAATCCAGGTGGATCAAGCGGCCATGTAGCTGGGATGATTTGATCATATACGCATCCTGAACGCCACATGTGCAATGCATCACAAATCAACAAGTTCTGTTCCGTTGATCAATGCCGTTCCAGGAAGGATAGGAGGGAATTGGAGCGAAGCCAGTAATGTGTATGCATGCATGCAACATGCATATACTGACTGCTAGGCTGGCACATGTACGCACATTCGGTATCCTTCTCGTTTCAGCGAATATAATTGGTGCGTTCAGTGTGGATGTGCGCTTCTTTATCGGTCAAAATAGAACTGCTACTCTGCCACGTGATCAGCCATCAACTTGTCAGCATTCCGGCTTTAGATTAGAGAAACCATTTCACATGGATTTATTTAATTTACAGACCATAGATTTAGTTAATTACCAGTACGTGGAAGAAAAAAAACTTTTACTGTCAGGACCCGACTTCACATGGATTTATTTAATTTACAGACCATAGAATACTAACACAACCACCCCACTGCTGGTAGCCTGGTACAAGTGTAACACGCACGCAAGCATACGTGACGTTGTAGCTGAAGAAAACCATGTGGCTGGTTGGCCACTTGGCTACCATTTTCTGATTTCTTTCGGTCACTTGTTAATAAAACTGAGCCGCTGCCGATGGTGCTTGATGCATGCTACATGTGTCCTCGCAAAGCCAGTCAGTCAACCTCTTATGCAACATTCCTCTTCCTGTTTCTCACGGTGCATGCGTGGGCAGAGTCTGTTCTTCAGTCACCCCACGGGCCCCGCCGTTCAGTTCCGAAACGATGAACGCTGACAGGAGGCCAGATGTATGTTAGAGGATGCGCATGAGACACTACTATGCCAAGTAGTTTTAACCATAGTCAGAATAGGGTGGTGTTTGGTTCCTCTTCTAAATTTTAGTCATTGTCCCATCGAATGTTTGACACATGCATAAAGTATTAAATATAGACTAATTACGAAACTAATTACATAGTTTGCGACTAATTTACGAGATGAATCTTTTAAGCCTAATTAGTGTATGATTTGACAATGTTATGCTACAGTAAACATGTGCTAATAACGGATTAATTAGGCTTAAAAAATCGTCTCGTGGAGTACTGACGGATTATGTAATTTGTTTTTTTATTAGTATCCGAACACTCCATGCAACATCCTCTCGACACACCTCTTAGTTTTTAGTCACTGGACCAAACACCACCTATGTTTGGTAGAGACGGTTTTTACAACTCTCTCTACTCAAGAGTCTCTATAAATAACATATTTACGATTGGAAATTATAACCGTCCGTAGAAATTGATTTGTTATAGGAATAATTCCCCAGCATTTCATATTCCATAATAAGCTCCTAGCTCCATGTAATGTTTTGATCCTATCACAACAATGCATATGGATCAAGGCGGCTCTTAATAAACTATTAAAAAAGCAAAGCCAATTCTTAACAATCTCTAGTTGGCCCAAATGGCCAAGCAGAACCTTACTCCCTCCGTCATGGAAAGACCGCAATCGTAGGACCAAGAGGAGAGACCAATGCTGTTGAGAAATTACACAAATGCCCCTATAACATGGTAGGGCAGTCCAGCCAGTAGACATTATTCCAAAACCAGATGCAAGCAAGAAAGGATAAGAGGCGCAGGAATAGGAAACGTGTAGAGGAGAAGGCTTCAACGTGTGGGTACATAGGCGATTTTTTACATGACTCCGATGGATATCCTGTATAGTTGTACTACTAGTGGGTCCTATATAGCCAAGTATCCTAGACTGAAACTCTAAAGATGCACAGTGTCTTTGGGACAAAATTCAAACTCTAAATTGCAGTCTTTTTGGGACAGAGGAAGTAGACCTGTCACTGCTCCTTTACCCACTTAGCGCCCTGTTTGTTTGGTCTGGTTTGGCTTATAAGCCATGACTGAAAGTACTGTTGGCTGGTTTGGTGTAAGAGAAAAATACTCTTCGTTGGTTGATAAACCATGACTTATAAGCCAAATATGATCGAGCGAACAGGCTGTAGATCCATTGATAAATAAAGAGAGAAAGAAAATAAGAGTCAACGTGACGTGGCCCTAAATGAGCGCGGTCAAACATGTAATTCATTGATATTCCAACAGTACAAACTTGCGGTAAAAATTGTGCATAGGCAGTAGAATTTTTTTTTTTGTTTACTAGCTTAATGCGTCTATGAGGCTAGCATAATTTGAATTGTCCAATCATTTTGGATGCCAGAAGAAGTTGGAAGAAACTTGATCATGTGATATTCCATCCCCTGCTGGCTGGTGTGCTGGTGTATCGGCAGGCAGACACGACGGTGGCCAGCCGCCCACTGCATAGCTGTTGAGTTGTGCGCCGCGCGCGCGCGGTGGCGGGGCCCCGGCGAGGTTGGTTGGATTCGGCCTGTGTTCCATGCGGTGGAGTGGAGGCGATGGCCGCCGGAGCCGCACGACGACACGACAACTGCCAGCGGGACGCCGTCGTGCGTGCCAATTATTTGCTCCTCCCGCTGTTTGCCGCCGCTGCCAATACACACTCCTCCTAATCACAATCACAGGTTGGAACCTGCACGTCTCCAGCCCGGCCACAAAACCAGCTGTGCCGTAGTTTCGAAAGACACAACGCCAACTGAGCTGGCGGCCGCTGACACGAGTGACGTGGCAGTATAACGTGGTAGTATACTCGTACCTACTACTCGTATTGGTGATCCTTGTCCCAGATTTTGCGCTTGCGCTTGCGTGAAATACACGGTTACGATTGATGGCTGTTAGATGTCTGTAGGCACCACCAGGTGCTGAGATACGTAACCTTCTTGAGCATAACGACAGCACCTACTCCAAATTAACTCGCGGAAAGCGGCGGCCCCGGGCGATCAAAGTCAAAAGATGCCAATGGCCATGGAGTGTTTAAACTACTCTCACTCTGCTAGCTCTGGCGATGAAATTGCAAATGAGGAACACATGGGATGCTGCTGCCTGTGTGGTCATGTTCGCTTCTCTTATGATCTTTTTTTTTTCTTGTTATTTTCAGCTGGAATAATTTTTTTTCACAATAAATCAACCGGAACAATATTTCAGTTTATTTTTTTCAACGAAGCAAACGGTGTGTTTCGGATGCCTGCAGGTTAATGCAATGGTTCACACACCTCATGATGAATCCTGCACGTCCGGCTAGGACACAATAAACACATTACTATAGTCGTTACGAGGTGCTTTATTTTTTCTACTACCAAGGAAGGATGCTTACGGTGTGTGCTTAACTGGTTCACAGTAAAAAATGCTTTACTACTAAGAATGCAAAATGCACTCATGCAATGCAGTACTACCGGTGACACAAACGGATACAGTAAAGCCTTCCTTTCCCTTTTGTCATCAAGGATTGTGGGCACAATGGGTCATTAGCAAAGTGAGGCAAATCATTTGGTGAGGTCGACGCGCGCGTAAGGTGGGTGACGCGTCGCTGTCCATCTCTCTCCTCGCCTGCCCCGCTTCCCTTATTAGATCTCTCCGCGTCCATTCAAGAGCTCCATCCACAGGACCACCACCACCAGAGAGCCACAGCGGCAGCACCAGCGGCAGCCGCCCAAGCCCAGCATCGTCTCACCGCGTGCGTGGCTCTGCCAATGGCCGACCGCGTCTACCCCGCAGCCAAGCCGAACCCGCCTCCAGGCAGGCGACGGCCAACGGCAACGGCAACGGCAACGGCAACGGCGGCGGCGCTCCTGCCTCGTTCCCGGCGCCCAAGCCGCAGATGTACCAGCGGCCAATCTACCGACCCCAAGCTCCCGCGAAGCGCCGTCGCGGTCGTTCCTGCCGGTGCAGCTTCTGCTGCTGCTTCTGCTGGGCGCTGCTTGTCCTCATCCTCCTCGCCTTCGTGGCCGCCGTGGCGGGGGGCGCCTTCTACCTCCTGTACCGCCCGCAGCGCCCGTCCTTCACCGTCTCCTCCGTCCGCCTCACGTCGCTGAACCTCACGTCCTCCCCAACAGCGCCCGTGCTCACCGACGCCATCACTCTCACCGTGACGGCCCGGAACCCGAACAAGAAGATGGTGTACCTGTACGACGACCTGACGCTGTCCGTGGCCACGGCCGCCAACGCCGTGCCGCTGGGCAGCGCGACCGTGCCCGGGTTCACGCACGCGGCGGGCAACACCACCGTGGTGACAGCGACGGTGTCGTCGAACGCGGTGACCGTGGACCCCAGCGGCGCCGGATCCGACTTCAAGAGGTCCGGCGCGTTCGCCGTGGTGGTGGACGCGGATACCAGCGCGGGCGTCCGGGTGGGTGGGCTCAAGACGAAGAAGATCGGCATCCAGGTGCACTGCGAGGGCATCAAGGTCACTCCTCCCCCGCCCCCGCCGGTGGCGCCCAAGAAGGTCAAGGGGAAGAACAGCACCGCCGACGCGCTCGCGCCGGCGCCGGCGACGACTACGACGGTGAGCACGGCCGCGCACTCGTGCAAGGTCAGAGTCCGCGTCAAGATCTGGAAGTGGACCTTCTAGGTATTCTTGTTCTTATTAGGGGCTGCAGGCTGCAGCGCAAAAAGATTTTCAGTAAAGGTTTTGGCTTTTATTTATTGCTAATCATTTTATATATATATATATACTGTGATAAATTCATTTATCATTATTATATTATATTGGAGCGAGCAGGAGTATGTATTGTAGTTGTAGGAACAAGAAAAGAACAACGGTACGTGCGTGCGTCGGTCGAGGCCGGTGTAAATCCATTTTCTTTTCCTTCCCTTGAAACATTTTTTTCTGTGATTGATTGATTAGTGGAGTGGAACGGACGATGTATAATTGGCGATCTTATTATACGTACTCCTACGCTGTAATTCGAATTTATTTGAGCTTGCAAAAAGTGGCGGTACTTGGTGGGCTTTAAAGAGTCCTAGTAGTAAGTACACCAGGCAGCATTGACGTGCCGGCTATGGCTGAATAACATCTGGTGGTGAAAGTGACACGTTTAGTGGCGGCAATTGTAAACTCATTCATTACGGACTGGCGCTCAAAGTGTCGGTAATGAATGATGAGGCGCGAAAGGAAGGAGGATGGGGCAGGCAGCGCGTGGTTTCTGGTCAGACAGTCCAACCTGTGCTGTGCTGTGAGATGCGATGCGACCCGCGCTGGCGACGAAATTAGGGGCATGGCCATGTGAAGGACAGCGAGGAAGGAGGGATATCTGTTTGTTTTTAAGGCTGGGTTTAGTTCGCGAAATTTAAGAATTTGACTATCGTAGTATTTTTATTTTAATTTAGTAATTAGTGTTTAATTATGGACTAATTAGGTTTAAAACGTTCATCTCGTGATTTCTAAACAAATTGTGCAATTAATTTTTTTTTATCTATATTTAATGCTCCATGTACGTATCACAAGATTCGATGCGATAGATACTGTAGCATTTTTTGGGAAACTTTTTGGGAACTAAACAGACCTTACTCTCGTGTGGGCAGGGCCTCTCACAGGTCACGCCTGCTTGTTTAGGGCGTGTTTAGTTGGGAGAAGTTGGAATTTGACTACTGTAGCACTTTCGTTTTTATTTGATAATTAGTGTTCAATTATGGACTAATTAGGTTCAAAACGTTCGTCTCGCGATTTCCAACCAAACTGCGTAATTAGTTTTTTTTCTACATTTAATGCTCTATACATGTATCGCAAGATTTGATGTGATGACTACTATAGTATTTTTTAGAAAGTTTTTTTTAAACTAAACACGGGCTTAATAGTAATACTAGCAAAGGGTGGTGCGGGCCCAGGGCCAAGGCACGCCCAGCAATTTGACAGCCAGGCCAGGAGGGAGTCGTGCGCAGGCTGACAGGCAGGCAGAGGCGACAGGCACGGGAGGCGACTTGTGGTGTCGCTCTCTGTCTGCCTACCGGTACCACGCGTGTCGGCGCAGCAGCTGCCTCCTGCACTGGAGTTGGAGCTGGACGGCGAGGCGGCGGATCGGAGCAAGTGCGCGGGCCGTGGGCCGTGGGTTTAGGGGCCGCGAGCCTAGGCATCATATTATGGTCAAAAGCCCAAAAGTTTCTCACACTTCACTCAAGATTTTCGACTTCTTGCCTTCGATTCGAGTTCCACCTAAGATATCGCACACAGCTTCCTCTCTACACAGTGCTCGTGCTACGATTCCATCTATCTACAAGCCAAAAGCTTAGGCTACGACTACGTCTATCAGCTCAGCTACCGTGACAATAGAAAATCAAGGATTGCTAATACAGACATTTTTTTAGAATAACGGACGTAACAAGCATGACGTTTAGTTATAGGGCCCAGCACCACGTCTGAACACAGCACCCACATCTGCACCCGACGCACACAACTGCCTTCGCCCCACGCCAAATCCTGCTCCGGAGACAGCCTCCTTCCGTCCAGAGCTCCATGAAACCGCGCCTACACCCGTGCCCCGTTCCCGCTCGCATCGCATCCCGTGCCCCGTTCCTGCTCGCATCGCGCGCCAGCATCCGGAACCGTGCCCCTGTGCCCGCGCGTGAACCACGGCAGCGCCCTGCAGTAGCACTAGGCCTGCCGCGCCGGCACGTGAACCACGGCGGCGCCCCTGCAGCAACACCGGCTGTGGCGGGCCACTGTCAGCTAGCCACCAGCATGCATTGCAATATGTGCAACATCTCGATCTATTTTTAAAACATAAAGATTAAAATATTTGCAACATGCAATTAAAACAGATGAACGTGCTCTTAAAACGTACGTGTATAGTCATAGCAACATGTGCAATATCTAGATCGACTTTTGCAAGATAAGTCTAAAAAACAAATGAAAATAAACACTTAAAAGATGCGTGCAGCTATAGCCACATATGCAACATCATGAGAAAAACACTTGAAACATACGTTTAAAACAACTGAAACACTTTGAATTTAGGCTTAAAACATGCGTATATTGTCATTGCAACATATAAAACATCCTAGATATATTTTTACAATATCCGGATGAAACACTTGAAACATTAATCGAAAACGCTCGAAACACATGAAACACAGCGTCGCCGCGCGGCATGGCCTACTTGGTGGGGGACTACCATAGCTAGCAAACTCGAGTTTAAGGGGACGTCGAGAGCAACAGCCGGCGACCTCCTCCTGCTGGCACCGTGGTGGTGGTGGCGCTTTGCACGCCATGGCCGCGACGAGCGAGGCGGGGCAGTGGTGCTCGGGCGCGATGGACAGGAAGGACGGTGGCCGGCCAGGTGTGGTGGAGAGCTCCACGGCGCGGACGCGGTGGCGGTGCAGCATGCCGTCGCGGCGGTGCAACGAGGCAGCACAATCACCGTGGAGAGCGGCGGTGATTCGAGAATGGGTGCGGTCGTGGCGGCAATTCAAGAGGAAAGTGATCAGAGATTTTTTTTTATTCAGGAATGCTGTGGAGCGACGTGAGCGACCGGACGAATGGAATAACAGTGTTGGGCCGTTCGGGCTGGGGTCAAGGCCGACCAACGCTGGTGCCTGACTGCCTGGACGAACGGACGTCCTACCTACAGCATTTCGGTAAGTTATAACAAATTGGAAAGCAGAGATCTGAAGCTGAGACGTGGATGTTAATCCTCAATGTCCTAGCAGAAACGCACCGTCACCACCAGCGAGAAATTGCAAAACAAAAAAGGCCCAGCGTTAGTTCTTGCCGACCCAGCGGACGCACCACCACCGCCACCAGAGTGATGGATGCTCCGTGCTTCAATGTCCCAGCATCCTAGCGCGCGAGCAACGGTGTGCAGACGCTAAGCAGGAGAGCGATGAATACACTCTCTTATGTATTTTTTCAAATTATAAGACGATTTACCTTTCCAGATACATTTCTTTTATACTATATCTAGATATAGTATATATTTAAGTGCATAACAAAAGTTATATATCTAGAAATGTCAAAACATCTTATAATTTAAAACGGAAGCAGTATCTTGGATGGATATATTTGAGTCAATAGAATCCATAGTTAGCTGTTAATAATTAGTTTCTTTGAATCTAAATAGGCCTAACTAACAGTCTTGGTGCGAACGACTGCCGGTGCACGCCTCTCACCCTAGCGGGCGGGTCGGACAATGGCTCCGCGCGGTGTGACGGTGACCGGCACCCTTGGACGTTGCCGGTGCACGCCTCCCACCGTCGCGGGCGAGAGCCCGAGAACGGCTCCGTGAGGTGTGGCGGCGGCCGGCACCACCACCCCGTCCAAGCGCGGACAACTGCCGGTGCGCGCTTCCCACCACCGCGGGCGAGTCCGAAATTGGCTCCGCAAGGTGTGGCGGCGACCGGCACCACCCCCATCCAAGCGGACAACTGGCGGTGTGCACCTTCCACCGTCGCGGTGAGTCCAATAACGGCTCTGTGCGGTGTGGCGGCGGCCGGCACTCCCCCCCCCTCCGCCGGGCGCGGTTGCTTGTCAGTGCGTGCACCTTCCTCCGTCGCGGGTGGGTCAACAGGAGCACTGGCAAAGGTTCTGGGCCAAAAGCTTAGCTCAGGTCAGTCTGGGCCAGCGACTATGGCAGGGCGGTACGCTCTGCTCTCTCACGACCTCTACTCTAATCAAAAGACTAAAGGACGATGATGATCTCCTTCTTGAAGGCGTCACTGAAGAACCTCTTGCTGCTTCTTCTCCATGGCCAACCCATTTCAACCCCTTGGAACAAGGCTCGGGCGAAAGCCTTGCCAAGCTCCTGCACGTCACCTCTTGTTGCTTGGCTGATGATGATTACGTCACGATGTCATCCACGTCCTTGGAGACATCGTTGAAGAGTTTTTGTGCTTTGGTGTTGTAGTTTTTCTCTCTTTTTGTTGTATTTGTGGATATGCCACAATCTAGCTCTTATGGTGAGCTCCTGTTTTTGGTTTTAGTTCGGTTTTCCAGAATTAACCGGACGATAGGGTTTTGTCTCGTTCCCTAAAAACAAGGCTATTGATAATAATCAATACTATTCATGTGGGATGCTCTCCCCGGTGACAGTTCAAAAAAAATAGTCTAGTTAATCGTTAGCACCATACTCCCTCCATCTTATAATGGTTGATCTTCTAAATTTTCTACACTTGTCTAGTTGTCATTTTTACTTCTCAATGTATATTTTTCTTTTTTTGTCCAATATATCTCTATCCGTCTCTCCTTCTCGTTTCCTATGCACTACACATTTTTCACTCCTTAATTCTCATGTCTCAGAGCTAAAACGTCATCTATTATGGGACGTAGGGTGTAATCAGCTAACAAATATCTCATTGGTTGCACTACTACAGATTCGACATTCACTGTCGGTACCATTAGTGCTAGTTTTTGGAGAACCGGCAGTGATAACCCTTCACTGTTGGTTCTGAGCTTCAAAATCAGAAAGTGATTGGGGGTGGCCAAAAACCGGCAGCGAAAGTCCACATCACTACCGGTTTGTGGCTAGAACCGTGAAAGTGCATCAAGCCCTTTAGTGGGTTTTGGATGATTGAATGACAACGTGATTAAAGGTCGAACCTGTTTGCTAAGTATTGGACAGGAAATGGGTTATGCCACAT